AGAGTGGGAAGATTTTGAAACGGCGTTTTCGCGTTTCCATCATTAAGGTCTAACCGCATTTTTTTTCTTACACGCATGCATCATAGCGTCGCCTCTAAACACGCATGCGCGACACAGTATCACAGCAACAATGGCGCCGTACTGTGTTGAATGGTTGCTGTTCATGCTACTCACCCTGCTGTCGGGCTTACAACAGAATTTTCTTCTTCTGGAATATCTCCAGGAAGAACAGAGCAATATCGACCACATAGTTCAGCACCTGAATTTGACTGAACCACGAAAATGGACCCGCAGGGCAACCATGTATAAATATTACTGCGCATGCCCAACATTTCGTCGCCTACTTTTGCTTTGGCACCACAGCGCCACTTACAGGCCTGGCATACATTTTGCAGCGTTTTCATGCATTCGTGTGGACGCTCACATTTATTTTACGTCTCCGTCTTTAAGACAAACGTTCTGGAAAATATTAGCGTTTCGTGTTCGTTTTGACTTCGTGTGGACGGGGCCTTAGAAACGACGCTGTCAAGGAACGCTATGGACAGCGGAAACATGCAAGAGGAGGAGAGTTTAGTGTCGGAGGTCTTGGATGAGTTTTTTATTTATAGGAGGAAAGCGGGGACGAAGATGTTGTGGAAAAGGACGCCAGGGCGGCAGAAGCTTGGCTTGGTGTAGAAGGCTTCCAGCCGTACATGTTTGAGCCCTTGCCTCGCAACGCTGCCAGTTCTGTTAGCTCTACGCCTGCCGAAGACACAGACGTTGCGTATATTAGCTGCGACATATGAATCAAGATGCTATGACCGAAAACATTTGATTGACAGATGACCGTTTATATATGATTGGCCGAATTTAGGTGTTCAGGCTGAGGTAGAACTAACTGGCCTGCAGAAGATAACAGAAAAAAACACAGATTTTAAGACAGGATTTTTTTTTAAATAGAAATTTTCTAACTTTTGGGAGAATATGGTCCGATAAAGAGTACATTTATACGTGAATGATTTGACATTTAAATATGACTTCCCTACGACTTTAAGGCCTGCAGTGTGAACGTAGCCTTAGAGGTAATAAAGGACTCCACCAGCACCGCACTGAAATGAAACAGGTCAGCAGCTTCCTTATTTCCTGCCTGACTTGCTGATCATAGAGAGCATCTTCCTGTTTATGAGTCTCCGGTTAGAAGGAGGGATTTCCTTCTGCTTCAGTCGTGGGGAGCAACAAAAAAAACACACACTTAAAAATAAAGGAAGCTGAAAGTGCTTGTGAGAAATGTTACATCAGGGCGTTCCTCCACAGCCTCAATGCGAAACTCAACCATTAAAACAGAAAGAGAGGAAAACAAGGAGAGCTAAACTCTGCAGGGAAACAATGAAGAATCCAACAAGTTTCAAACTTCAAGGTTAATCTTAAAAATGTTCCTTCATCCCATCGGATGAGATGAAGCATTTCCCCCCAGAGAGCACTGTGGCCTCTGCTTGTGGACTGTTTTGCTGTCTGTCTGTGGATGGAGCAGCTGTGCAGAGGAACCCCAGGGAGCTGAAAGAGTTAATGAAGGGGGGGTGTGTGTCGGGTTAACGGTGTTTCCATGGTAGGATTGCCCTGGAATCCAAAGCTGGTGCCAGACCCGGGGAAGCCCTCATCAAAACAAGGAGGGCCCGCCCATCAGCAGCAGCTCCTCCAGGTCCTAAACACCGCCGGATTGACGCAGCAGCTGCTGGTAGCGGAACATGGAATGAAGTTCTACCCCTAACCCTAGTGAACAAAGTTTCACAAGAGATTGAAAAGAGTCGTTACATGTTTCATAAAGGTAAAACTATGTAGAGCTGGAAAAGCAGTTAATAATCAGATGCATTAATCATCATCATCAGAAGAAGGAGCCCCTCTGCAGAAGCAGGAGCGGGACCCGTTGGCCGGTCTGCAGGAGATGGGTGTTAATAGACAGAAAGACGACAGCAATGGCCTCAGAGGAGCAACTGCCCGTCAATCGGGGAAGAGTTACCGCAGGAATCCCCAAAGTCGGCCCTGGAGGGCCGCTGTCCTGCAGGTTTAGATGTTTTAGATGTTTCCCTGCTCCAGTACAGTGGATTTTAAGTGAAAGCTGCTTAACAGGCTTTTGCTGAACTGCAATCATCCTAATCAGCTGTGCTGAAGCAGAGAAACCTCTAAAATCTGCAGGACAGCAGCCTTTATGGACCCATCTGGAGTCCATCAGAGAGAGGAGAACATCCACCTGCTCAGGAAAGGACATCTTAGCAGATTCAGACCAGGATCAGAGCCAGAACATCACAGAACTGACAAAACACCACCTTAATGCTCCACCTTAAAGGTCATGACCCTGAACCAGCCTGGCTCCCTGAAGGTTTGAAGAGGAAAGCCTCTTTTCTGTAGAACCAAGATGGCAGCAGGAGTGAGATTAGAAACCCAGCATCTGGATGAAGAACCAGATGTCTGGGACCGTGTCCTCTGGACTGAGTAGAGCGAGAGAAGTTCTACAGGCTGATTATAAATCCTCCGTTCCTGAGGAGCTGCTGGTCATTTTCTACCCCGCCATCATTCAGTTTTCCATCACTGTGAGGTTCTGTTACTTTAAGCCGTCCATACATGCAAAATGTTCAATCATTGCACGCAGCTATAACTCAAACTGTACGATGAAATCGCAGGGTTTAAAAGTTCACAGCAAGTCCAGTGGTTGGACTCAGTGCTGCCCCAACTTGTTGCTCACATACCAAAATAAATCATTTTTTTCAAGATGATGCAAAGTTAAATGTGAATCTGTTACCATTAGTTATAAAACGAAGAAAATGAAGCTTAAAGGAATAGTACACCCAAAACATGATTAGCCTTCATTTTCTACTCACCCCCATGCTGAACAACACTCTGGAGTACTTTTTTGATATCTCAAATGCATCTGGAGATCTGGGAGGCTTCTTGCTGTCTGCCGACATTCAAATAATGGAGGTCTATGGCGCCCGAGGCAGAAAGGTCCATAAAAGTCCACAAAAAACGTGTCAATATTCCTCCATACTGCTCGTCCAATGTATTCCAAGTGTCCTGAGTGGGTAGCGTCCATAATTTACTCGAAACGAAGTCATTTAGAATGTTTTTAGAGCATAAACAGTAGTGTATAGGATTTCCTGAAAGCGCGTTCATGACGCTACGGAAACCGCGGCAGACCAAACCAGATGAAAGTGCGCATTCAGCTCGGCAAAGAACTCATGCTCTTCCTCAACACTGAAGTCCTCAGACATTTTTCTTTCGTTGTTTCTTTCTTTGCACAGGTAAACAGCACATTTCTTCTTCTACGCTTGCATTATCGGCAGAGCAGACGCTGAATGCGCACTTTCATCTGGTTTGGTCTGCCGCGGTTTCCGTAGCGTCGTGAACGCGCTTTCAGGAAATCCTATACACTACTGTTTATGCTCTAAAAACATTCTAAATGACTTCGTTTCGTGTAAATTCTGGATGCTACCCACTCAGGACACTTGGAATACATTGGACGAGCAGTATGGAGGAATATGGACAAGTTTTTTGTGGACTTTTATGGACCTTTCTGCCTCGGGCACCGTAGACCTCCATTATTTGAATGTCAGCAGACAGCAAGAAGCCTCCCAGATCTCCAGATGCATTTGAGATATCAAAAAAGTACTCCAGAGTGTTGTTCAGCATGGGGGTGAGTAGAAAATGAAGGCTAATCATGTTTTGGGTGTACTATTCCTTTAAGGAAGTTATCATCCAGAAAGGTAGAAAAATGTTCCTTTAATAGAGCAGAGCAGTAAAGTTTCTGGCCTTAATAGTTTCTCCTGCATTACTTTTACTTTTATTCTTTAAGTAGTTTTAAAAATTGTACTTTTACACTTTTACTGGAGTAAAAAGCTGCAGTTGATCCTCTAACTTCTACTAAAATAATTTTAAACAGCAGGATTTATTCTGGAGGAATAAACATGAATACTTTTAACTCCTCTGATACTATGTGGAATCTATATGCTACTTTTCTATACATTTCCACATAAATCTGTCTTTAACCCTTTAAAGCCCGATCCAAGAATAAAACAAAACAGATAATTACTTTTTTTTGGTTTGAAGTCCTTATTTGCCCTTTTAACAAAATATGTAAAAAGAAAAAACAGAAATATATTTTTTATATTAATAATATATTACTATGCAATAAGTCAAGATTATTTTTTGTGTAGTCTTCTACTGGCTGTTATCAGGTATATCTGATTGTGTACAATAGGATTTTGAGCAAAGTTTTTACTATTAAATTATGCAAAAGGTGTCAGACGCCAAACATTTCAGAAACCGTATGTATCAAATATGATACATTTGGCATTACAGGGTTAATCTGCTAAAGTTGAACCTTTCTAACCTTCCAGGTTTGTTTCAAACACATATTTAAGAAAATACAACATTGGCAATAAAGAGGTTAAAAGTTAAAGCGATTGACGCTGAGAGGAGCAGAGCTGGAAGCTGCAAGCCTCCAATTCCTGCTTCCACGGATGAAACAATGAAGCTGCTTCCCTCGACCTTGGAACGAGTCGCCGCTCTAATCCGATCACACGTGTTTACGCCGCTCGGCCTCAGCCCAAACTCTTCCTCAAGAAGCTAATCAAGCAGATTGCTGTTTGTAAACCGCAGCTGAACATCTGGGAGTGGTTGCTGCTGCCTCCAAACTGAAGCAGCTCCCAGCAAGAAAAACTCCAATTCAAAGCACACACACACACACAGCAGGAGGATCTATGTGTCACGTGCATAAGCAGCCCCCCCACCCCCCCCACACACAACACGCTCCGCTGTGATCATTCCTCTGCTGAACAGGCAATGGAAACTTCTGCAAATGTAAATCTGCCGGGTTAAAAATACAGCGCGCTAATGTGCACCACATGTGGCACTCTGGCAGCGTGGAGGATATTTTGACGGAGGATGGGGGGGGGGGTTCCTGGGGTTTCTCCAGCAGCTGAGCTGAGGGGGGTGGGGGGGGGCTCTCCTCCAGCCTTAACTCTTACCTTGAGCCTTTTCCACAAACACCACCTTGGAGTCGTGCTGGAAGTTGTGCCCGTCCAGGATCATCCTCTCCCCTCCGGAGGCCGCACACGTCTCCAGGCTCTGCTTATCCACCAGCGGCAGCTCCTGGGCCGATCTCTGGGCTGCGGGAGGAAGATGGGAACGCAGAGTCATCGCTCAGCCCATAGACACCCACTCCCCATGCAGACCTGAGCATCCAGACCCAGCCTGAAGCCCAGAGCTTCTTCCCCTCGGTGACGGACGATGCTTTATCTCATGTTCTATAAATATAAAGTGGGAATGTGCCCACGGCTGGGCCAGATGTTTGTGCTGAAGCCTCCTGCAGCCTCTGGGTTCTCCCTCTGATCTCAATTAGCTTCCAAACTTTAAACTCATCTGTAAACTTTCAACACTTTTTTTCTTCACACATTTAGGGCTGAAGGAATTAATGAGATTAATCCTGATTATTTGATTACTAAAATAATCCTCAACTAATTCAGTAATCGATTCATCGATTTACTGGAAAATAGAGACTATAAAACATGCATTGAGCCGCCAGCGTGACTCACTTAGAGCAGGAATTATACCAAAATTGTAAAAAAGTACATAAACATTCTGAATTTAAGAAAAAAAAAAAGATGTACTATCATTTATTTAACATTTTCAATCAGGGACATAAAGATGATGCTTATGTGGCTGAATAGGAAATATTAATGTATTGGTTCACAGTATTTGTGTTTACTCAATATGCTGTGGTGTTCAAAAAGTGACCACTGAGATAAATGTCACAAAGCATAACATGTGTGGACTCAATTATAAAAAAAAAAGAAATCTTTTAACAGGTAACATAGATAAAAAAAAAAGCCAAATCTTTTATGTAAACAATAAAAGAGATAAAGCTAAAAAACACATTGAACAGCTCAAAAAAGTAAAGCTTTTTTAAATTGCTTCAGTATGGTCCACCGTGCAGCTCTGCAGCGCTTATTTTGGTATCCAGGGACGACGAAACTTCATGAAAGAATTAAAGTCGTAGGGAAGCGGCCGTTCCAAATGATGCATTCCTGAATTCTCCGAGTGATGCCCAAATTTACACAAGTGAATAACGTGAATGTGATTGGTCGATTATCAATTGTTGTGGCAGAAGGTTCTCAAGCAAGTTTGGTTGTAGCCAGTTTGTGGGAAGCATCTTGCTAACCAGTTAGCAACTTAGTGCTAGCAGGTTCACAATGGGAAATTCCATTGGGACCAAGTAGCACTAAATTGGTGACTTAGAAACGACACTGTCAAGGAACGCTATGGACAGCGGAAACATGCAAGAGGAGGAGAGTTTAGTGTCGGAGGTCGTGGATGAGTCTCCTCCGTCATCCATTTTTTATTTAGAGGAGGAAAGCGGGGACGAAGATGTTGTGGAAGAGGACGCCAGGGCGGCAGAAGCTTGGTTTGGTGTAGAAGGCTTCCAGCCGTACATGTTTGAGCCCTTGCCTCGCAACGCTGCCAGTTCTGTTAGCTCTACGCCTGCCGAAGACACAGACGTCCATCCCCGTGAACACTGGGACGCAACTCAATGGGAAAGGAAAGGATTCTGGTTTCAACCGTTGCGTATATTAGCTGCGACACATGAATCAAGATGCTATGACCGAAAGCATTTGATTGACAGATGACCGTTGATATATGATTGGCTGAATTTAGGTGTTCAGGCTGACGTAGAACTAACTGGCCTGCAGAAGATAACGAAAAAAAACACAGATTTTAAGACAGGATTTTTTTTTTCCTTTTCAATAGAAATTTTCTAATTTTTGGTACAATATGGTCTGATAGAGAGAACTTTTATATACATGTTTAAGTCAGAATGGTTTGACATTTAAATATGATTTCACTATGACTTTAAATTCTCTGTTTTTTCTCATAGTAGCTTTATCTGGTCTGTTCCTGTTTGGCTGTGACTCCATCCTGGAGAGAAATATCAGCTGTGCTGCTGCCATCAACACCTTTGTTTCTAGATGTTGGAGCTTGGCCTGTTTTCCAGTGTAGTCCTGTTTCTCTGACTGTGACTAACTGGATGTGCTCTCTTCATCCTCTGACATGGGAGCTGGCTCGGAGCTCGTCTGCCTGGCCGTGTGTTTCCTGGACGGGGCCGCCTGTGGAGCTGGTTGACAGTTGCCATTTGTATCTATGCTTCTTTTTCTAGGTCTGCTTCTGTCTCCTTGAACCCCAGTGGGCCTCAGCAGATGGCCGCTCACACTGAGCCTGGTTCTGCTGGAGGTTTCTTCCTGTTCAAAGGGAGTTTTTCCTCTCCACTGTCGCTACAAGCATGCTTAGTGTGAGGGATTGCTGAAGAGTCAATGAGTCGATGCAACCAGCTGGTTTTCCTTAGATAGAAAACTTTGAATCAATCTGACTGGATGATCTGGTGAACTGGAAAGTGACCTGAGATGACATGATGTGAATTGGAGCTATAGAAATACACTGAATAGAATGGAATTTAAATGAAGTCTTGCATTTTGGCATGAAGCTAACTTTCTGACATCACTCTATCCAGAACTCGTCAAGTGGAAAAGTTTGAGTTTCACCTGGTTTAATTTCTTAAAGTTTTCTTCAAAAAAATCTCCGGCTATCCGAATAATAATTGATTAATTAATAATTAGAATAATAATTAAAAATAAATGCTGTCCAGCAGGTTAAAGCGCTCAAGGCCGAGTTTCCAGGATTTCCTTCAGCAACCGTCTGCAGAAACCTGCAGAAAACTAAAACTCACTGAGGTCCAGGATTGTAATTCTGCTTTAGTTCTTCTTTGTGTTTGGAAATCTCTCTGCTCTCTGGGTTTTTCTGCGACTCTCCTTCACCAAACCGATTGAGGAACTCAGAAACAAACAATGGTTTATTTCAGGGTTTAACGACTGTCTTTAATTTTCCTCATAAGGCTTAATCTCTCTGGCAGCAGCAGAACCACATGAAGTTCAGCCCAGAGCAGCGAAGGTCAGCTCCAGTGCACCACGCCGTTAGTGAGTTTTACCCAGAAGAGTCACATGAACCTCATTCTGCTCACATCTATTCTCATTTTATCGCTTCTGTCGCATCTTTAAGGTCTGATCTGTAAAGGAGAAATCTGTGACATCACGTTTCAGCTGAAATCTCAGGTAACTGCTGACCAGGTGAATTATAACACAGTGGTTTCCTGTGGACGATGGTGAGCTGGTTTTCACAATCATTGTGATGTAATCCATGACGCCAAAATATATCATGAAATAAGTAGATGTAACAATTATTTATTCATCTACAGCACATATTTACATAATATTAGATTAATGACAGAATGCATGATTAAATAATTAAAATACATTTAAAATGATGAATGAAATAATTTCATGTCATAAAAAAAAAAAACTACAATTTCTTCGTTTTATACGTATAAATCAATTTAGGATGAATTAATTATATTGGTGTTTAGGGGGCTGTTAGTCTGTTGTGTTGTGAGTTTTGGGACCACAGGCTGAAATGTTTAAGAACTGCTGCCTTAAGAAAATAAAAAGTTATTGCAAAAATAGAAATACAAATAAGCCAATTTTTATTAAAATTTGTTGTTTCCATTAAATATTTTTTGTAATCTTGGTATAATTGCTGCTCTAGGAGTTGATCTGTCAGTTAAAGGCAGGTTTTACAGTCTCTATATCCAGTTAACGGTTAATCGATTATAAATTAGTTGATTATTTCAATAATTTATTAATTATGATTAATGCGAATAATTATTTTCGCCCTAATCGAATCCCAGCATTAAATATTTAGTTCTTTTGAGCCCAAACGTGGCGAATAAACCTGCTTCTGATTATTTATAAAGATAAAGGTTATTTTCTTCATTTAAACCCAAATACACCCAAACTAAAATATTTAAATTGTATTTTAATATGTTGTTTCCATTAAATTTAGCCAGTTGATTAAAAAAAACAACAAGAAATGTTTCTTATTTAAAATGTATATCTAATTATCACACTTTGTCTCATTTACCTGCTCAAATTAAAGGTATTTTGGAGGATTTTCACAAATTTTTTTAAAAGACCCGCCCTCACCGTGCAAGAGCGTGCACGAGGAAAATGGGCTCGTGCACGCTCTGTTTAAAGGGTGCTGTTCCCATAACTCATACAAGCTCACTGCATCCACATACAGCGGGGACTATGTAGTGAAAGTTATGGCGAAATCAGTTAACTGACCGTTCGGACAGATGATCACTGCTTTTTGCTCCGTTTGTCACGTAAATCCTCCTCCACCGCGCGGCGCCTGCGCCATCTTTGTTATTATTCGCCGCTGTGATGGCAAATCCCCATAATGCCTTGCGCCGAGCCTTCTGCAATATATCTGCCTTTTCTGAGGCCTTTCTTTTCTTCTCATACACTTCGTAGACCCCCCCTTCAGAGACATAGACAGGTATGGGGCGTTCCAAACGACCCCCATTCCAAAGGGGGGGACCCGTTCATCCGTTTCTATTTGCATGTTTTCTAAACTAAAACCAGGCTTTGTTGGGCTGCTGGATAAAACCTGGAACTAAACGCTATTTCTGACATTTGGAATTGAAAAATCTTCCTGGATGGAAGAGAAACGTCTTCAAACTTGGAAACAAAGTCCAGTGGATTGTTTTTAACTTTTTAGGAACAAACCAAAACTGTATGCTCCCAGAAACTGCCCTTCTGCTGGATGTTGATGCTGAATTTTAATGATGTCATATTTTATTAAGCATTCATTAACTTGTATTGAGCTCCTATGAATTAACAATGATATTATAATACTGCGCATGCTCTCCTCGAGCTCCAAGGGACTCAGAGTGAAGTGTTTGCTGCAGCGCAGAGGAATGGGATGGAGGATAAATGACATCATTTGGACCAGTAAGGAAGCATCAATCATGAACTAATCTATAAAATCCTGACGGTTTTAGAAAAGTGCCACCGCTGCCTTGATGCATTCTGCAATTCTCCAACCAGAGAAGCTTAGAAAGAGGCGGGTGGACTCACAG